GTCTTGGGCCAATCAAGTGATTTCAACTAAATATAGGTTATGTTCGTTTCTGATTCATGACAGCTGGCAAACATTTACAACAAATAATATTTTGCAAGTGTATATTTATTGCAATAAGATAAGTTATGCAAAAAATATATATGTGGAACAATAATTTACAGTGATTTTCATAAAATGAATATTGATTTAGATGCTCTGGAAAGCAAAGTTCATTTTTTCTTAAATTCAATTTTTTCGACCACCGAGATATTTCGATACATTTTCATGTGTTTTGTATGCACTGTCTTTTTTTGAGAAAGGAATATTAATATTATTATTATTAATTTTTATAAACAAGTTGTAATTTTTTTAAATCAAGCAAGCGAAATGTCAATACACAAAATCCTAGCATAGCTGTCCAGTTACTAGACTTATTGAAGCGCCACCGCCATGACAAGGATATGAATTTAATTTCGAGCAGCACTGGACAGTGCCATTAAAAAAACTGGATAGCTTTGAGTCGTGGAATTATCAAGTTCAACTTGAATTTCTTTCAAAAAGCACTGATCAGTAACTTCACAGTTATTTATCAGTTCAGCTAGAATCAGCGTCCGCGAGAAAAACTGTCAAGTAACTTGAGTCAATCTAGTGCATCCACGACAAATTTCTACTAGGGATATATCTATATAGCCAATGTTTAAAGCCATTCCACTCTCTCATGGAGCGCTGGATCTTATATATATCTGAACGATGTCTTTTGCACTGGTAGTGGTGACCGGGAGAACGACTTCCCGAGAGGTAAGAGGAGAAGGAACTAGTTCAGTGAACAAAACGACTAAAGAGCCAGTTGCACGCCAAGCAACCCGATTCACTCTGCATCTAAACCTTTAATATAAATAAACTTCTCATATATATATATATAAATATAAATAAATACAAAATCTTTTTTATATTTTCAAATTTTTATATTTTTATAATCTTTTTTTTTAGGAATATAATAATATTTTTATGATAAATTTTTTAGAGTAGTTAATTTAAAATTAATAATTTAAAAATAGAAAAATTATCTTGTAAACAAAAAAAAATTGGTTTTTTTTCCATAATTTTTATATAGAGGGAGCCCTTTTTGAGAATCGTGAGGTTCTATATAAGAGTATACCGGATTGCCTGTGGACCTGAACATTTCTTTGCGATTTAAATTATAGCCCGCGGCTGAGTTCGGCACGGCGGCCGCTGGACCCATGGTATACGTGTGTTATTAGAGCGACTCGGTTCAACCTAATTATGCAAAAACTCCATCCTATATATATATATATGTATTCTGATCCCGTATGTCTGAACGTATAACGCGTGAGAGTATATAAAGTATAATTCAATGTTCCTAAGAAGAAAAAAAAAACGCGATGAGAATAATTATTAAAGAGATGAATTTTAGGAGACACAAGTTCATTTCCCCCACCCCTCTTTCTTCTTTTGCACCCCCCTCCCCCCCTCTCCATCTTGTCTCATTCACATCAACGAAATACCTCCTGCCAATAACCCTATAATCCCGCTATAGAGGTGATTGCTATCGTCGTGAGAATATAGACATCCGCAATATTATTTCATGATGAGTAATGATCTAAAATCATGATCAAATATTACAATTGACATTAAAAGTTACATTTGAATTTTTATTGTTTTTTTTTTTTTTAGAAAGTTAGAAGTTTTTTAAGTTGCGATAAATTTGTCGAATTAGAATTTTTTTTTAATGATAAAGAGTTGGTTATCGATATAAAATCCACTCCAGTTTCTCTTTTCGACTAAATCCGCTTTTTTCGATTCCTTTTTGTTCACCTCATCATTTACTGGCTTTCTCTCTCTCTCTCTCTCTCTCTCTCTTCCTCTCTGTAAACTCACACTCATCTGGAAAGTACTTGTTATGTATCTCGTACCAGGTAGACTAGCAGGTACTTAATACAAACACATTTAAAGGAGTTTATATATGTATATACGAGACTAGGAAGGCCCCTTTGTAAACGCCTCGACAGGGCTGGCAACCACTAACTGTTTCCCGCTATACGATACACATCAACGTCAATATACACTGAGAAAAAAAATTTAGTGTTTGCAACAAAATTCTTTGGTTAGGCAATTTTTGGTTCTTGAAACCAAATTTTGGTTGGCTGAAACAAATTCGTAGAGTTATCTCAACTAAACATTTGGTTAGGCCAACAAAATTATTTGGTTGAACGTTTTTAAATTTCAATCAAAATTTGGTTACGACAACAAAATAATTTGATTACGACAACAAAATAATTTGGTTAACACAACAAAATAGTTTGGTCTAAAAAACCAAATGATCGTTTGTTGTCCTAACCAAAATTTGGTTGCGACAACCAAATAATTTGATTCGCTCTCAGCTCATAGCTTAAGAGAACAATTATTTAAAATCACTCACAAGGATGCTGCGTAGTCCAGTGGTCAGAGCTCCCGACCTTCAGTTTTAAAACAGAGGTTCGATCCCAGGCGGAGATGAGATTTTTCAAAGTTCACAAATATTTCAATTGGATAAATATAAATTCAATGTTAAATTGATAATAAATAAATAAAAAAGAAAAGAGATAAGGCAGAATAAAATTTTTAATTAAAAAAAAAAACCGGTTTGTTTGATCAACCAAACATTTTTGTTGACCTAACAAAAAAAAAAATTTGGTTGAGCTAACCATACATTTTTGTTATGCCAACAAAAAACACTCAACCCAATTTTTTTGGTTGACGCAAACAAATACTTTGGTTGCTTAAATACCAACAAAATTTTTTGGTTGACGCAAACAAATACTTTGGTTGCTTAAATACCAACAAAATTTTTTGGTTGACGCAAACAAATACTTTGGTTGCTTAAATACCAACAAAATTTTTTTTGTTCACCCAACCAAATTTTGGTTGCTCTGACTAAACATTTTTCTCAGTGTGTATAAATTCAAAAAATGCATATCATCCATATTTAGAAATCCCAGAGAAAATAATTATAGTAATAAATTTATAATTTAACAAAAATTTCTAAATCATTTTTTGTTCAGAATCTATTAATTTTGACCTGGCTCTAACAGGGCTCAGTTACGGAAGCTCCAAATTAAATAGAATCCAATTGGAAAAATAAATTCTATTTAAATCAATTAAAAACGGTGCCCGATCAGAGCCCTATTTGGCCCATGTTGACTTTCCAATTTCATTCAAAATTAGAGTAAAATGGTAAAATTTTTTTCTCCCTAATTTTAAATTAGTAAAAATTTTAACTAATTTGAATTGTCCACTTAATTTTTGCTTTTTAATTAGTAAAATTTAACTAATTAATAGTAGAAAATTTTTTTTAACTAATTTAAAGAATAAAAAAAATTCATTATTTTCTTTGTGTATTAGAGAGATTTTACTATCTTAGTAAAAATAGACTTATTTTACAATTTGCCAGGATAAGAAAATAAGAAATGGTGAGCGAATAGTTTTTCGCGTGATAAGTATATATCCTGATAGAACATATTGTGGTCAGTTGCGTGTCTTGTGGGAAAAATAATATGCTCTGCATTAGGTTGGAAAAACATAACAGAATTTTTTTATTTTAAACCTATATATAGTTTCTCAAGTCTGGCAATTTAAAAAACCATAAATAATAAAGGATAATTTTATCAATATTTCAATTTCCAAATTACACAGAAAATGATTAAAATTTAGAACCAAAATTAAAAAATACAATAGAAAAAAAAATTTATTTAATCGATATTATTAAATAAATATTTATTTATATCAGATAATTTTTATTTGAATCAATTAAATTTTATTTGTTTCCAAGTACAAAAATTATTTGTTAAAATAAAATTTATTTAATTCAAATATAAAAATTATTTGATTCATAATTAAATAATTAATTTGATAATAGTAATCAATTATTTAAATCAAATAAATTTTTTTTAATATTGAAAATAATGTAAAGATATACATAATTTTCCTATCGTTAGGTATTAGCTTTTTGCAGTTAAAAAAAATTCTAATATTCATTAAACTTTTATAAATAAGACGAAATGTTTTTATTTTATTTTTTTTTTTGATATATATAAGCTTAAATGACATTCCAATTACAATTTCAATTCTTATTACCTTGACCTACCTTCTTTTAAAATTACCTTACATACTCGACTGATATGCACGTTCTCAATATATATTCTTCAATACCTAACTTTGAGATTTATATATATATAAATATACATTACGAAATTCGTGCTTTCAACAAAATATATAATTAAAATTACAATCTTACCTTTTATTTCATTTACAAAAAAAACAAAATTCGGAATTATAAATTACAAAATTAACGAAATTTCGAAAATTTATAATTATAAATTACGAATTTTATTCATTTTATTTAAATTCGACATTTTTAATGTATACCTACACCAAGAGAAAAAAAAAATTTTCTTACACAGTAAAAATCTGAGCTCAAAATGAGTAACGTACTTTAATGTGCAACAAAAATGTGTCAAGTAGGTGGCGCCACGTTTTCGTTTAACATTGGCTCATTTTGAACGACCAAGTTTTTTCTGTCTAGAGATAAATAAATATTTACATGTTACAAAATAAATTTTTATTTGAATTAAATAAATAATTATTTAGCTCATAAGCAAATTATTTTATTTTTATAAATAACTTTATATTTAATAAAAACTGATTCAAAGACAAAATTTCTCTCGGTGTAGGAATAAATTTTTATTGCATTATTTTAATCATTATAATTAGAATTTATTTTTGATATTAACTCAATTAAAAAAAAATATATAAAATCAACATGTATATAAGACAAAATATAAAAATATATTATTATTAAAAATACATAGCAAAATAATACTTGAAAAAAAAACATATTATAAAATGAAAAAAATGTTTATTCCTAAAATAAAAATTGTAAATTATTTCTATAACTGAAAAATAAGATTTTTTTAAGACAGAAAAAAAAGGAGGATAATTATTAATTGGCATTCGCCGTTAGATAACTTGTATTAAAGTCTTTATTATTATCTCAGATTTTGAGCGGGTTATTAATTTTTTTTTTTTTTTAAATCAATTTCCTTGACCATTATTTAGAACACATTGTTCGCCATGACACAAAATGTTATTTTTTTTTTTTTTTTTAAATAAAATAATTAATCAGCTCTCATATATTATAACACGTAATTAGGTATTCTTTTTATATATTTGTCATGATTAGTGCTCTCTTTTATCTGTAGATTTTTATAAACATTTTTTTTTTTTTTTGTTTTTAAATGCAAAACCCGAAAGGGGTGTGCGCGCGAGGTATACAAATTCACTTTATTTTTTTTTGTCTTAATAAAACAACAACATTAAAATTTCACTCGTTGCACATTTACGCACAATTATTATAACTTTCAGACCACAATTATATTTATATGTATATATATATTATATATTATAAATTAATAACGATAAAATGTCACTTTGCACATTTGTTCAATAATTTTCGTACTTACACATAAATATATATATATACTATATTTATATCGTACACATCGACAAAATATCCGTAATTATGGATTTCTATACAATAAATATATATACATATATAAGTGAGTGTATATTTATATAATTTTTATATATTTTTTTTTTGTTAATATCGTTTTTTTTATGTTTACGCGCTTTTTCCGAAATTATAATCATAATTATATTTATATAAGCATAACAGTTTATATATATATAGCAATAATAAGAATAAACATTTTTTTTTATAAATTATTTTAAGAACCCGTTTCTGATGCGTAATTTTTTCTTTTTATATTCCATATTGAATAATTGTGGATAATGTTAATTAACTTTTTTATATTTAATATAATTTAATTATAATAAAAAAAAAATTTAAGTGCAATTTTTCTCTACAAATGAAAATTAAAATAATCCACAATATTCCATTCATTTACATATATATAACTATATATATATATCAGTATATATATAAATAATTCACAATAAAATTTAATCTCGAAAACATGTAACAATAATAATCGAATATTTTTATATTCAATAAAAATAAAGCACATTGTCAACAATATGTAATAATTATTTAAATAACAATCTCAATGTAAAATTTTCGTCTTTATATTATATATATATATTTAATTTTTTTTTCCGGGACGGTTAGGGACGTTGACACCAAATGGGAATAGAGACAAATATAATTGATTCATTACTGAAAGAGGTTGGAGATAGGGACAAAAGTCGTCAATATTTCGAAAAAAGAATTTTTTTTTCAGTTTTTTTTTAATCTTTATGAAAAATTAGATATCACAATTTATATATTTATATATTTAATTAAATGATAATTTTAGAACCTTTTTTTTTCATTTACTTTAGATTTTTTAGAGCTTAAGTCATGTGACATTTGACATTATGTTTAATCAAATTTATAATACACATTTTTATTCTTTTTCAGAAAAAAAAAAATTTGTCAAATTAAAATTTTTTATAGTGAATAGTTGTTTACATTGGGACAGTAGTGTCTATGATTGGAACAACAGTGTTCCAATGTAAACGACTCCAAGTAAAATGACAGGAAAAAATGCCAAACGAATCATGACTTTCTCTCATTAAATTCAATTATTTATCTAGTTTTGTCTTAAATTATCATCGTTTTTTTTACGATTTTTCAATTTTTTTTTTCGCCGCAATTGTCCTGCTCCGAATTATATCGGAAATGGATTCGAGGGACGGGGGAATTCGTAGTTTATGTCGTTTTTCTCATAAATCTAAATGGACTGCAGTCAACCTACCTTAATCCATCTGTCGATAGAATATTCTATCGCTGCAAGCCATCTGCAATTCATTTTCATTTTTATTATAAATAACAAATACGATAATAATCTGTAAATATATCTAAGCCTGTTTTAATCATGTTTAATTTAATCTTCCGAGAGGTTAATGGCAGTAGATATATTCTGCGCCTGCGCAAAATGTTTGTCGACAGCTTCAAACTGCTTTTGCGCAGGCGCAAAATGTTTGTCGACAGCTTCAAACTGCTTTTGCGCAGGCGCAAAATGTTTGTCGACAGCTTCAAACTACTTTTGCGCAGGCGCAGAATATATCTACTGCCTTTAACCTCTCGGCAGATTAAATTTACCCACACGGTAAAAACGATAAATGAAAAAAAAAAATGGAAACAGACCTCTTTTTATCGATTTCGGATTCAGTGGCAAATGTAAATGTCCTTTGAGTTGGATCAGGTGGTTCTAGTTCAAAGGCATGCTTTCTACCCCCTGAATTTGGTGCACTTGCATGAACCCTAAAGCCATGAAGACATGCAACTCCAAATGCTTGCTCGGCATTGGCGTCATCATAAAAATAGAGTGCTGCATCTTTTAATACACAATATCGTCGTGACCATCCTGATGATGCAGTGGCTCTTCTAATGTGTCTTTGTAATTTACTAAGATAACCAAAACAATCTGGTCTTTGAATTGAGCACGGTGGCATCAGTTGCATCCTTAGTGATGTATCTAACCAGGTACCAGCCTATAACGACAATTTTCTCAATTTTTGTTTTTAGAAATATTGCGTTAAAAAAACGGGGAGAAAATTTACTTTCTTTGTTCAATTTCAAAAAAAAAAAAAAAATTATAAACATTTTCGACACAGTTTTTAGTTCTCTTTTGATTGGCATAATTTATGTGTTTTATGCATTCTTTTTAAGTGAGATTAGTTACGATTTTTTTGATTCCTCTAAATGATCAAGTTTTATCATCTTCCCGGCAAAATCGACAGTGTCGAAAATTGCCACTTTTATAAACTATACAGAAATTTACATATATACGGAAAAAAAGTTTGCCTGATGTGCAGCTAAAAAAAAAAAATTGCGTTTATTATCAACATTTGTCGACAAAACCAATACAGCCGCCCTTTTTATCAGGTAGGTGGCAGCACTCTTTTTTTCTCTTCTTTAAATTTTTTCCCTATTTTTTTTATTAAAAGAAAAACTCTTATTTGTTAAACGGAAATATTGATAAAAAAAATTTGTATTATTTTATCAACAATATTGCCAAAAAACGATTAATTTTTTAATCAAAACTATTCCGAAAGAAATTAATTTTTTTTATCAAAAATTCACCAATATTTTTGATATAAAATAATACATTTTTCTATCAAAATTTCCGTTTAACAAATAAAAGTTTTGCTTTTAATAAAAAAAAAAAAATACAGAAAAAATTTAAAGAGAAAAAAGAGTGCTGCCACCTACCTGCTAAAAAGTGCAGTTGTATTGATTTTATCGACAAATGTTAATAATAAACTGTAATAGATTGAAAATTAATAAAAACATTAAATTTTTATAATTATTTAACAATAATCATCTTAAAATGCATAAAACTTATTGATTTTAATAATTATACTATCAATTTCATCATTTTTTATACATTTTAGACAGAATTTTAATCTCGTGTTCCACAAATGTTCGGCAAATTTCGTGGAACATTCGCATCATACAATCGGCCAGGGATTATTAAATACTGCTTCCTTTTTTGAAATTTTAATATTTTTCACGAATATCTTAAAGAAAGAATCAGATCAGATTTTAGGAGGGTAATTTTTAAGCATCTGGAGTCATTACGAAGAGATCTCAGCAATTTTTTTTTAGCTACATATCAGGCAAACAATTTTTTCCGTATATAAACATCGTGTGAACAAGATTGAAACCTAGGTTTTTAGGAAAAAGGTAAAATTAGATTAGATGAGGCTGTATTTTTAAAGAAAATTGAAAAAAAATCGAAATTAAAAATTATATTATCATTAGTTGATATACGTACTTGATTATTTCTTTCGACTGCTTCACGAATAACGGTGCTCCATCTAGCGGCAGCTTCCTCAGTATCGGCAGCCAAATGTAATGTCGGTGCTCCTTTCTTTCTGATGGCAAAGCTGTGCAATCGTTTCTCTAATGTTGGCTCCACGTCGTATTTTAAAAGCATCACTGCTCCTACTGGCTGTGAATCCTACAACAAAAAAATCAAGTATTAATAAAATATTCGTTAACAAATAAAAAAAAGTATTAATTTTCAACATACCGCGTCAGTCTTATAATAATAAAGGCAGTTGTCACGACGAAGAGCAAACCATCTTCGTACCCATTTATCGGGACTAGATGAAGTGGCAGCTTTCCTCCATAGATAACCGGCGCAAATTGGTGCTTCAATTGAACTTTCTTTAGTTCCACTTCTACCAATTTGTGGCGCTAAAACATTACACGTTGTTGCCACTTCAAGTTCGAGGACATCTGATCCAGAATGTGCCATTCTAACCACTTCGGAATGTGTTGCATCCATAACATTCCTTCCATTAACTGTCATTATTATGTCACCTATTTCTAAACCAGAACTTTCGGCTGGTGTATCAGGTTCAATAACTGACACCACAACTGGTTTTGAGCCATGAATTCTAAATCCAAATTCACCACCAGCTTCGCGTTTTATTATCACTCGTTTGTCACTTTCTGAAAGATGAAAAAACAAAAAATATTAGAAAATTAGGTGATGCATTTTATAGTTTAGATAATTTTTTATTTATTTTTGTTAATGATGTTTAGAGGCCTTTTACAGTTAAGATGTTTATTTATTGGTTGACATAACGTTGTTACTACATGTTTCGGGCTATTCAGCCCTCATCAGGTAACTTTTGAAATAAGTATAACAAACATAAGACAAACACGTAAGTAAAACAAAATCACGTGTTCGATCACATTATTTTAATCTATTATTTTGATTAATTTATTTAATTTAAAAAATTAAAAATTTGAAAAATTTTTATTTTTGTTTGTATATAAAAGCAGGAGAGGGATTTGTGTCAGTAAACATCAAATTTTTGGTGAATATTACAAGGTTTTCTGAAAACGCTTTATATTTTAACGGATCCAATATCGAAGCTCGTTTAACAACATGTCAAAGGGATTTTGACCAAATCTCATGAATTTTCATGTCTCTCGCTCCATCTACAGCATAATCAATCATCTTTATTATTCTCTTTTTTCTCTATACAAGCTTCCACATTTTTTTTTTTATTATATCCAATAGAGCGTACGTTTATATTAACCGAACAAAAGAAGGAACATTCTAAGGCATTTCTTTACTTTTTTTTGCTTCTTTATGGAAACAAAATAATTTTTTGCATTTTCTTATTGTTAATTTTTAAAAAAAAGTAGATTTTGTTTAATGTATGAAAAAATATTTTCCCCAAACAATAGGAAACATTTAGCAAAATGAGAAAGTAGTATGCAGTGCTGTACGTTGGGAAAACATTACTTAGGAGTAGAAAAAAGTTCAGAACAAAAATATACATTTACTTTCTATTCTCAATAAAGAATTCTTTTTTAAATAATATATTTTGTATATTATTTATTATTATTTTACATTATTTTTTATATTTTATATATTGTTTATTGTTATTTAGAAATTAATACCCCTTTCAATGTTAGATTTTATGGAAAATTCGAAACACGTGTTTGCGAAACTATGCCAATAATTTCTTGGCTGACGTCCGATTTTGTACTTTGATCACGTGTTCCTCAAATTTCATTCAAAGTACGAATGGAAAATTGATTGATTGAATATATATATATGTATATGTACACAAACGTCAGCCAAAGTGACGCCCTCGTTACACATTAATGGCCCTCTTATATATTGAAATCATTTCTAAATTGGTACTATAGTGCAATAATGAAAACAAATTTAGACTATATATACAATGATACAATTTCCATTTGACTATTATTTAATATAATTATATATAATATTATTTAATTTTATTAATTAATATTACTATTAATATTAATAATTCATAATGCAATAACAATAATAATATTACTGTATAGTATGGTTAAATTCAGCAATTTGATATTAGCATTAAATCTTTGTATAATATGTGATTGAAAGCACTCTAAGAACTTGCATGTTAAACGATTTGCATATTTCATCGGGAAACACTAAATTCTAGAAATCAAATATTTCATTTAATCGCTAACATCGATTTTTCATCTTTTCAAACTCATAATTCTTATATAGTCTATAGATCATTTATCATTGTCATTTTAAACACATTACTTCCATTTCTATTTGGAGAAAATTTTTTTTTGTATAAAAAAACAATACCTTTGACAAGTGAAAAATTATTACGAAAAATTATTCAAAGCAGTTAAGGTGAATTATTTTAACAGCTTAAAAAAAAGTTACCCCATAAATTAATAATTAATTGCACCAATTATAAAGTTTTATTTCAAGAAAAAAATTTAATTTTTTTCATGAAAAGAATAGAATTTAAAAAAACATGTTTTTTTTTATATGAAGTCTAAAGAAAGTGAAATTTCTTAAAAATTAAAAACAGGTAAAAAATTGTTTTGTTTTATATCGAGTCTAAAAAAGCAGAATTACTTAAAAATTAGAAACAGGCAAAAAATTGTTTTGTTTTATGTCGAGTCTAAAAAAAGTGAACTTTCTTAAAAATTAAAAATAGGTACACTACAAAAAGAAGTATCTTATTTTAAGATGTTTTAGTCGCCTTTTTAAGATGCTTTTCACAACTTGCTTCTAAGTTATCAAAAACATCTTAAAATCCATTAGTTTCTTAAGATATAAGATAGATAGGAAGATACTATTGGTAACTTGCTTATAATGTGTCTTATAATAAGATACTTCTTTTTGCAGTGTAAAAATTGTTTTGTTTTATATCGAGTCTAAAAAAAGTATAATTTCTTAAAAATTAAAAACAGGAAAAAAATTTTTTGTTTTATATCGAGTCTAAAAAAAGTAGAATTTCTTAAAAAAATAAAAACAAGTAAAAAATGTTTTGTTTTATATCGAGTCTAAAAAAGCAGAATTACTTAAAAATAAAAAACAAGGGAAAAAATTGTTTTGTTTTATATCGAGTCTGAAAAATGTAGAATTTTTTAAAAATTAACTAAAAAATTGTTTTATATTGAGTCTAAAAAATATAGAATTTCTTAATAATTAAAAACAGGCAAAAAATTGTTTTGTTTTATATCGAGTCTAAAAAGAGTAGAATTTCTTAAAAATTAAAAACAGGTAAAAAATGTTTTGATTTATATCGAGTCTAAAAAAGTAAACTTTCTTAATAAATAAAAAGTCAAAATTTTTTTTTCTGTTTTACATGGAGTATAAAAAAGTAGATTAGGTAGGGTTTTTTTTCCAATTTTTCAGAGATTCTAAATTATACAAAAAAAAAATTCTTTAACCTTCGGCTAAAATTGTTCACTGTAAATTAAACATAGAATCAAAGGTGGAATGCCAAGTTAAGTAATTGTAATGTTAATTGACCTTGCATTAGGAATCGTTTCGAAATCATTCACAGGTCTTGAAAGTGTCACGGTCACTTGAAAAAGGCTTTTATTTTTCTCTAATCACTAATATTTTAGATTTTACTGTCTAAGGGTTAAAATTTTTCTATATATTTTCAAATAGTTATAGAAATATGAAAATAGAAGAGAAATGTATAAAAATTAAGAATTAATAATTTATTTCTATACCGGTCGTTGGAACGCCAAGTTTTTTTAATGCTTGACTCTCCCTGCACCAAACTCGAAGCATACACTTGAGAAGTTCCTCCAGTGAATTTTTTAGAGAAATATCTTGCCCGATTTCGGGCACATAACTGCCCATAGAATCGCACACCATTTCACCAAAAAAAAGCCCGAATTTGATCTAAAAGGGATTTTTAAAAAAATGCGCTAAATTGTATTTTAAAAAAATGAACATTGGCGCAAAAAAAAAAAAAAAAGAAACTGAACTTTGTATAAGAAGCAAACCGAAAGTTTTAGGCTTTCAGTGGACGTCTATTTGGAATGCGACTCGGCGCCCTGACCCACTGACTGGTAGCCAAAAAGCTTCTTCTCGACCCATCGACCCCCTTTCCCCTAACCCCCCTCTCTTCGTTGGCTCTTCTTCTCGTCATAAGAGATCTTTGCGCTCTGCAGCCGGCTGCGTCGCGACGCCGGTATTTATTTTTAGCCAACGTCAGTATTACGCGAAATTTATTTAAAGAAAACGATGAAAAAAAAAAACATTTTTTTTTTACACCCGAACCCTAACACTCTCAATCCATCATCAGGTGAGGTCATGTCATTAAAATTCTTAATCTCGAAAAAATTTTTCTCTCCTAATCACATATATTTAAAAATAGTTGATGATTCTGTTTAGATAAAATTTAAAAATTAGTTTTCAATCTCAAAAATAAACTTTCAACTGTCTGCTGAAAGTCTACGAAATGTTTGTACAAACTGTTTTTGACTGTTTTACATATAAATTCTTTTAGAAAATACTTTGCAAAACAAAATTTCATTTCATAAATTCAAGTATGTGAATCTCACTTGAAATTGTCCCCCATTTCTAAGTTGAAAATAACTTCAAGAAGCACTGGAATCTCAAGAATGAGAATTAAAAATAAAGAATTTAAGAAGTTATCAAAAAAAATTATATTTTCTGCACTTGGAGAAGTAAAATATTTTTTTATTACTAAACATTTTTCAAAAACCTCTTTGCAAAATTATTTTAAATTATTCCAGTTAAGTTTATTTCTAAATGCTAATTTTGTCTTTAGAGCTTCACAAACATTACGAAATCTATACAACTGCAAATTCCATTGAAAGTGTTGGAAGAAAAATAAACTTTCGCGTCCGTTTACGATCAAAGAGAAATTATTTTTTTTAAATTTCACATCATTGAAAGTTTTACATTTTTACAGAACAAAAAAAATATATTATTCTTTTTTTTGTACTTCGAAAATATGAAAGATAAAAGAAAAATTTCATTGAATACTTACCGAAATTTTTTCGTTGAATTCTTTTGTACATTTCAATGCTCGTTTTTCTGTGTACCATTCGTCGAGTGGCGGCTTCATATTTTTTTCTAAAGCACTTTTCACTTCCAGTTGATTCCTGAGAGTTTCTTCGTTCCTTGGCAAAATATTCGGGAAAATCGTCGTCATCTCTACTGTCAGGTCTTTTCCACGCAAAACTCTCTTGAAGATCACCGATATAAATCCATTCTCCACTTGTGAATGGTTCAATATAAGTGCCCTCATCCTCTCGACCTAAAAAAATAAAATAAAATCATCTTTTGTTTGTAATTTTTTTTTTCTTCTGTGCATTATTATCGTTTCAATCCTTTTAAAACATGAATTATAAAACAAAACCAATTTAAAAGTTTTTGTGGACGTAAGTCTAAATTTAAAAAAGACAATTAAAATTTATATTTTGTTTTTAGAGACCTGTTAAAATTTCCAAACTCGCATCAGTACTTCGAGCTTGAAGTCTTCTTTTTAATCCATCTTCAACTGATCCCCGACTACTTGATCTCCCTCCTCTTTCTTCGGATTTTGCTCTAACATCTGAACGTCCTCCAGTGCTTCTATGATGTCGTCTATCGCCTCGATCCTCTGAACGATATCTTTTGTCAAATTTTTTATAAAGCCTAGGTGTTGTGTGCTTTGGAGTTGTTCGATGACTATCAGGCGAATCAGCAAAACCCGCCGGTGGCTGAACAATATCTTCCGGAACCTAAACAAACATAAATAACAAAATTTTGTTTCAAACGGATTTATCAAAAATTGATAATACCTCTCGTCCGCAATGATGACAATGTGGAGTATCTAAAGTTTGATCAGTTCCTTCACTGTAGAAAACACTATCACTACCTGGACTAACTGATCTCAACGATTCAGCAGAAACTGCCTTTAATCTTGCCTCAGGACTTGGTGATTTTACAATAACTGTCGTATGTCCATTATGTCCGGGACTTCTTTGATAACGTCCAGGACTCAATCTTGTCGTACAAATATCGTCCAATGCACGTGATCTTCTTCTTGGCAAACTACCAGTTATTGCTGCATTTTTATCCTAAAAGAATAAATCCAAAGAATAGAAGAATTATTATCTTTAGATTATAGCACACTGAGAGAAGAAAAGCACAGAATCCGTACTGTGACGAACGTCGGCCGTGTAAAATGGGTATCCGTTTTTTAGTTTTATTCAGTTGGTGTCGTTCATAGTTCAGATACTAAGCGGCGGCAGCGGTGTGAACTAAGTTATACGGAATCTGTCTCTTAGCAACCGACAGATACTGTACTTCTGAACAGTTCCATATCTGTGTCAAGCCAAGCACAACATCCATTTCACATTTTAGTACGGCATCTATCACACAGTGAGCAGCGCTCAACTTGGTGTACAGATGCTGAACATCTCCATTTCAGATTCCGTGCTTTTCTTATCTCAGTGCAGAAAAAAATTAACAACCTCGTTACTTCTTCTTCGAGAAGAAAGATTACTTCCAGTTTTACGTCGTGGACTTTCTCTTGTTCGTCGATGATGTGTACCATCTCCACTATCTCTATGCCGATGATGATGATGATGATGAACATGATGATAATGATGACTACAACTTGAATCATCAGATGTTTGTACATGTCCACCGTCTTCAGTTTGTTCACGCCATTCTTCTTTTTGTGGACTTCGAATTAATTGCTGTTGCGTTGAATCACGTCGTTTATTATTTCTATGTGGACTTTTTGTTGACATTGGTTTTGTACGCGATCTATGACGATGACTTGGCGTTGGACTTACGTCCATATTATCTAATATCATTTCAGTTGAACGTTCAACATCAATTTCACTACCGGGAAAATCAAGTGTAAATGTTTTTCTTCGTTTTCTACGCTCCTCCTCTGTCCACATATGATGATCAGGCGGTGATTCTGCATAACCACCTGATGACGATCGTTGTCCTTCCTAATGATAATTAAATTTAATTCTTAGATAATTAAAATTATTTAGAATAGAATTTTTTTTTTTATTGAAACAAAGGCAAATTTGTACCTCGCGATCTAATTCAACTTCGGAGGTGTGGCCACTGAGAGAAGCAGTTGGAAAGGGTTCTTGAACTACAGCAGTGTCTTCTAAATCATAACTTCCAGAACTGCTACTGGATGTTGATCTCGTTGGAGAAGGTGGTTGTTCCGTAGCTAAAGTTTCTTCCTTAATTGGCTGTGGACTACTTGGTTCTTCAACAACAGCCTGAAATTTGAGTATTTTTTGAACTCAATTTCAAGGAAATCAATGGAAAAAAAAATAAAATTTGCGTGATTTCGTAAAGAGTAGCAAAATTTTATTATCATTATCTTTGTTCACAAAAAAAAAAAAATGGGGAAATTAGTTCATCCAGTGTGGATAATGATGATAAAATCACGCGACTGGAAAATTGCTTCTACACTACTGAGGATAGAATAGTATCGATCAAAAGAAAAGAGAAGGTTACCTCGCTTCTAGCTAAACTGTATATAGAGCTGGCACTTTCAAAAGAACTTCCATCAGCAGCAGTAGCCGTTGCCGATGCTACTGATGGTGCAGCATTAGATGGTAAAAGTGGTGGTCTAGACCATGAACTTGTTGTCGCTGATGTTCCAGTACCAGTGGTTCCTGTTCCTGTTGAAGTATTGGCAGTGATATAATCATCGGTTGTCGAAGTCTCCGAAACGTCAGTTCGACCACCAGAATCAGTTCGCGCTAAACTTAATCCAAATTCACTTGATGATTGCGAATGAGTTTGTGAATAAGGAGGACCAGTGCGCCACAATGAACCACTCTTTGGTCTTCCATTTGTCAATAAAGACGATGCTTCGATGCTGAAGAAATATTATAATCAAAAGAAAAATTCTGCAAATTTTTAATAATATAGAAAAAAAAATATGGGAGATTAATATGAACCTTGGCGTTAATGTGACGGGTGTGGCAGCTTCGAGACGAATACGTGGACTTGATGGTGAAATATCGAGTTCATCTTCAACGTCAAGGGCCTCGGTATCCATTGACGATCGTTGTTGATGTTGAAGAAGTAAAAGATGCCTTCTTCTTGAAGAGGGCGTTAATAACGCTAATGAATCCGCCTGAAGTACAGTCGCTTGTGATTCATTCCAAATACCATCACTGTGATCTCTTGTTCCATCGTTTGCCAAAGAATCAGATGATGCAAATGGAGAGAGCAATCCAATTACTCGACCAGTGCGTAGGAAATTTCGATTTGATGATTCCTCTCTTGATATTTGAATAATTCTATTAGGCGCTACAATTTGCAAAAGAGAATATCATTATTAGAAAATTATTTTCATTATTTTTTTGCAAATGAAGAATGAAACAAATTTTTTTTTTTTTTAACAAAAATCTGTTACCTGCAATAGCAGTAGGAGAAGTGGGTGAGGTGGGGAGAGATCGTGGAAATAAAATCTCACTGCTACAGATACCTTGAACTCCATCTTCAAGTGAAACACTTCTCTTGCGAAAGAGACCTCGTCGAACAATGTTTTCATGAAATTCCTAAAAAAAATTAAAAAGGAACAGAAGATAAAAAAAATTTTGTTTTATATCGAGTCTAAAAAAGCAGAATTACTTAAAAATAAAAAACAGGGAAAAAATTGTTTTGTTTTATATCGAGTCTAAAAAAAGTAGAATTTCTTAAAAAAATAAAAACAAGTAAAAAATTGTTTTGTTTTATATCGAGTCTAAAAAAAAGTATAATTTCTTAAAAATTGAAAACAGGAAAAAAATTTTTGTTTTATATCGAGTCTAAAAAAGCACAATTACTTAAAAATAAAAAACAGGGAAAAAATTGTTTTGTTTTATATCGAGTCTAAAAAAAGTAGAATTTCTTAAAAAAATAAAAACAAGTAAAAAATGTCTTGTTTTATATCGAGTCTAAAAAAGCAGAATTACTTAAAAATAAAAAACAGGGAAAAAATTGTTTTGTTTTATATCGAGTCTAAAAAAAAGTATAATTTCTTAAAAATTAAAAACAGGAAAAAAAATTTTGTTTTATATCGAGTCTAAAAAAAGTAGAATTTCTTAAAAAAATAAAAACAAGTTAAAAATGTTTTGTTTTATATCGAGTCTAAAAAAGCAGAATTACTTAAAAATTAAAAACAGGCAAAAAATTGTTTTGTTTTTTATCGAGTCAAAAAAAAAAAGTAGGATTTCATTAAATTTCTAAAACAGATAAAATATTTTTTGTTTTATATCGTGTCTTGAAAAAAAAAAAAATTCATACCTCTTCCATGGGATCGTCCTGAGGTGAAGAAACCCTCAGGAATGAAAGATCGTCGGGTGTTGAGGAAAATTGTACATGAGCGCGAATATTTCGATTCCAAGGATCCTGATGATTTCTTTGACATGTGTGAGGATAACTTGGCTCACCAGTTTCGCCAATCAATTCACGCCTCTCTACCCTTATTTCACCATCCGATAAAGTTTTTTGAAGTGGTATAAAACGACGAATTGGTTTTGATATTCGATCCAACATTGCTCTTGCGTCAGGTGACACGGGCGCTGGTTTAAAATCAATTAAAATTTCCTGATCATCCAATTCAAAATGACCTTTTTTATCCTGTAGGAAAAAATTTTTTTTTAAAACTATATTCTATTTCATTGTTTTCATTTTTCTATATATATATATATCTATAATTCATTTGATTTCCTACATTAATTATTTGTGAATTGTTCAATTTTCCTTTTATTATTCTATTATAATTAGGTTATGCATATTATTATTATGCAAATATTCTGTACTGAATTTATAATTTTCATATACCAATAAATTAAAATTTTGTTGTTTTTAGCTAAATATAGAATTTTTTTATTGTTATTAATTTTTATCAATCTTCATTAATAAAGTAAATTTATTTTTCTTTATATTTTACAAATATTTTACATTAGCGTAATATGTTAAACTGAATAAATATTTGAAAAGTTAATTAATTAAATTTTACAAGTTTTATAATTTACTTTATTAATCTAGCTATGAAAATATTTATCTACTGTTTTTAAAGTTTTTTTTTTACCCCTCAACAAAGAAGTCTGTCTAAACTTCAGTGTATGTGAAATGCCGGAGGTTCAGACTGGCGTACACACCACTATTTTCAGACTTTGATCTTTTACATTTTGCTCCGGGTAGTTTGCTTTATATTTCACTCACATTTTTTCTATTTTAAATATTATATATCTACTTTTATATACATATATAAAAACCCCAAAAAAAATTCCAAGATGACCAATTTACGGTAAAATTTTATTTAAAAATAAACATATATATAATTTCATTTTCTTTTTAAATCTAAATATAGAAAATAAAAAAAAAAATTTTTCCCGTTTGTGAAAATTCTTTTAAAATTACAGTTAATGGTACGAAGTGCATTGTAGAGCGAAGGAGAGAGAGAGAGAGAGATGCGAGAGCAGCAGGAGTGAATTCTGCATTTTTGTAAAATTCTTTTGTCTCCTTTTGTTGGAAAAGTTGGTAATGGTTTTCCTGTAGTTTTGCTCGTTGAAAACGCCTCTTTATAATCGATATAAGAACAAAAATATTTCCTCTATTTTAAGAGAAATTCTTAATGCCTCAAGGGTTTTAAAAAAATAATTCTCAATTTTTAATCCGCAAATACAAATTTGTTTTTTAAATTAAAAAAAAATTATAATTATATTAATTATTTTTTCTACTGTATGTCTAAATATATATGAATATAATTGTACAATTGGACAAATAATATAAATTATAATTTAATAATTTTTTATTAATAATTATTCAAATTTTAATAATTAATATTAGTTATAAATTATTTTTTAAAAATAAACTCACTTGACTTATGTCACCGTTTTGAAATTGTTCCTTAATTGTTTGAGGTGAACGTGGTGGGGTATCGACCATAAACGGTGACCTTGGGGGTTCTTCACTTTGTGTCCTCTGAAGTGGTTCATGATCACCCTCCTCTTTTGTATGACCCAATGGTGATCCAAAATGACCAGCCTCTGAATAACTTTTTGTCAATTTTCTTCCATTACAAATGCCATTTGTTTGGGCTCCTTGCGATACCATTTTTACCCGATGAATTGTCCTTGGACTCAAGGTCACAGGTGGAATTCGCCGAAAACCCGTTGGAACATCAGTTTGTGTTGCTTGTGCTTTCATAGCACCTCGTTTCGGTTGTTTCTCTATATAGAAAAAAAAACATTTTCCCACAAAAAAAATTCATAAAAGAAAAATTTTTAAATAATTTTTTTTTAAATTTTCTTTATTAAAAATTAATTATTGAAAAAGTATGAATGTTTAAATGTGATTAATAAAAAGTTTTCTAATTATAAAAGATGTTAATTTCCGTATGGTGGTATATATATCGAGTTAAATGGAATTAAAGTATTTTTATAATGAATATAAACTAGCATTTTTTTTTCTTCTTTTAGTGTATATATATATATATGTATATTCAAAAGAGAGCAGTGCCTTTTCATTTACCTCTATTCTCTTTCGCATATATGGAGATTAGTTAGAAATGCAGATTATGAACATTTGTGTGTGCCAAGAAATGTGGTTATAATATAAGCAGTGAAATTAGCTTTCCAGGGGGATAGTTAATGAAAGAAAATTAAGGTAGGAAATTGACGATCACGGCAAATGGAAACTTAATGAAGAATTACAATCTAATATGCTGAAAGCTCATTGTAAATATATATTATTTAATTTTTCCAATTTCGAGGGAAAAAAAAAATTGTATAGTTAATGTTTTTTTTATTTGTGAATTAATTATACAATTAGAAAATGTGTTTATCTAATTTTTTTTTACTAATGTCAAATTTTGCAAAAAAAAACTCTAAAACTGTATTGTCTGACTAAAACTGGCTTTTACTACTTATTTATAGTAAAAAGTTTACTATTTATCCCAAAAAAAATCCGATTCGTCCGACAAAAACTAGTGTTTACTACTAATATATCAAACTTAAAATTTTTTTCTTAAAAATCTTAAAATCTTAAATTTTGTCTGACAAAAATTCACTTTTACTACTTATCCCCAACTTAAACTTGTTTATTCTAAAAGAAATTTCTACTATTCCCCAAAAAAATTTGAACATTTGTAAGGGAAACAAATCAAGAATAGTAGTGCCAATATAACCATCAAATAAATTATTCTCTGCCGCTCTATTTATTTTCCCCAATGTTAAGAAGAATTTTTCGATTAGATTTTCCCCTCCTTCTTCCTATATTGTATATATATATATATATATATATATATATATATATATATATATATAGTGGAAAACTTACCGAGAACAAGTATTCGAGGCTCGGCTACTGGATAAGAATGTGCTGAAGGCAACGTGGAACACACAGAGCCTTGCATGGTTGGTTGCGAGTCAATGAGTCGTTCTTGATTGTGAGGTCTTGGAGGACTTCGAGTACTGGGCATTTCCGTTAATGTATGTGACCTCGCAAAACTCACATGCTTTGTTTTTGGCAACGATGAAGTTTGTAATGATGACGGTGGAATTGGCGATATTACTGGTCTTGGTCCTTCTAATTTTGTCAATTCTTCATCCTCTGGGTCCCAAGTATACCTTTAATTAATTAGAAAAAAATTTAGAAAAAAAAAAATTATAATTATAAAACTTTTCTTTACATATTTATTTTTTATATCTATAATTGTTATTATCATCATCATCATCATCATCAATATCATAATTATTTATTATTAGCACGATTATTATTATACGGTATTTTATATTATTATCGTTTATTATATCAAGCATATGCTTGTTAAAGTTGACTAGATATGAAATCGATAAATATTAATAGCAATGGTATGACTAGGTCCAATGCCATGCATCTTCGATGCATAAAATTATATCAGTAGTAAAGGATGGTTTTAGTCAGACAGAATATATGAGTAAAGTATCAAATCAGTAGTACAAGTCAATATATAGTTCTACTTTCTAAATTTTTTGTAGCAAAAGATGTTTTTAGTCACACATAAAGTACAAAATTAGTAGTAAAAGTAAATATTAACCAGGCCTTTTAAGTATTTGTACACGGAAAATAAATCTTCACTTATAGCGATAAGTTTCACTAAAACAGCGATATGTTTCTCTAAAACAGGGAAAGTTTTCACTATTCTAGAGAAAAATATCTCTGTTTTAGATAAAGGTTTTTTTTCCATGTCTTTAGTGGTATAAGTTGATTTTAGTCAGACATAAGAAATAAATTGTAAAATTAGTAGTAATTGACAAATATATAATAAAAACGAAATAAGCATATTGTGAAAGAAAAAATGATAAAAGTTATAATAAAGATAAAAGTTACACGATATAATGAAATTCAATAGATTACTTGACATGACGAATTTACAATGTAAGCTTTCTATATATACATAAGAATATATAATCTATATTGTAGAGATAACCTACTTAACAGATGTTTTTTTTTCTTATTTTATTCTTTTAGTTATAAAAAGAAATGACAAAAGAAAGAATAAAAGCAAATAAAAAAATTTGAACAACGATGACGTAATTGATTGATAATTAACGATGTTAGAAAAGATGATTTATGGGATTAAATAATAATAAATTTCACAAAATGGTGCGAAAAAAAAAATTTTTATCGAGAAATATTTTTTTGATGTAATGTGTGTATATTAATCTCATGTAACATTAAATAAATTAATAGGAAAAATTGTCTAAATAAAAATAGAATGATTAGTAATGATTTTTTTTTACATTATTTATTATATGTCTGACTAAAATTTACTTGTACTACTGATAAAATTGCAATAAATTAGAAATTCCGATTAAATATTGACTTGTACTACTGATTTTATGTTTACTTCATTATGTCTGACTAAAAGTAACTTATACTACTGATATAAATGTAAATATTTAACAAGTCTGACTGGATTTTTACTTTTACTACTGATTTTATTTTTTATTCATTCTGTCTGACTAAAACCCACCTTTACTACTGATGTAAATTTAAAAATGTAGAAAGTCGAACTAAATATTGACTTGTACTACTGATTTTACATTTACCTCACTATGTCTGACTAAAACTAACTTATACCACTGATATAAATGTAAATATTTAACAAGTCTGACTCGATTTTTACTTTTACTACTGATTTTATCTTTTATTCATTCTGTCTGACTAAAACTCTCCTTTACTACTGATATAAATTTAAAAATGTAAAAAGGCGAACTAAATATTGACTTGTACTACTGATTTTATACTTACTTCATTATGTCTGACTAAAACTAACTTATACTACTGATATAAATGTAAATATTTAACAAGTCTGACTGGATTTTTACTTTTACTACTGATTTTATCTTTTATTCATTCTGTCTGACTAAAACTCTCCTTTACTACTGATATAAATTTAAAAAGTCGAACTAAATATTGACTTGTACTACTGAAAAAATTACAAAACTTTAAAATGACTGACTAAAAACTTACTATTACTAATTGTTATTTTATTCTTTATTTATTATGACTAACGTCTGACTAAAGATTTACCTGTACTACTAACAATATTTACAAAAATTTAAAAAGTCAAGCTAACTATAAATTTGTACTACTGACAAAATTTTAAAAATTATAATTAAATTTTTACTTTTACTATACTTATTTTCTAATTCTATTTATATTTTATTATTAAATATAACCAAATAATAGAATTTATTATTATTATTATTATTTTCTTCTTTCATATGTAATTTAGAAATTTTTCGGTATGATGTGGTTTAGAGGAACTTGTACATTCACACAAAGCATTCATTGCACTTTTTATTACACGTGAATCTGCCCTCCATACCCTCCTCCCCCCCAACCCCTTCTCTATTATTTCGAGTTTCTATAGTTCACATATATGACTGGCATTATCTTGTGAAATGTAAAAGCCACACTATGGATCCCCTATATACACTGTGCGGTATTTGAATCACAGACGAAAGACAACTGCTGTTGATTGTCTCAACTTTTTTTTTTTCTCACCTCTTGCTATAATCCCCATCAAATGAAAATTAGTCGACACTTTTTGCAAAAAGAAAAGGTATTTCACTTTCACTATATAATATCACTTTATTTTCATTTCGATTTCACTGTGCAAAGTGAAAGTGTAGTGAAAGTGAAATGAAAGTAGTGGAGGCAAAATTAACTGTGAAAATTTTGGTCCATCTTTAGAGGGATCATAAGAGTGACAAGTGGCTCTTTTGAAAGTCAAATAAAGTACTATGACCTTCTAGATATAGTGAAAAATGTGTTCAGACCTCTTATTTGAGATAAAAGTAGGAAACAGCTGAAAATCAATGTGGTATGAGAAAAGTTAGTGTTTTGATTTTTTTTTGTATGAGTAATTCTAAAAAAAAGAATCTTCTCCAGAAGTTGAATCTTTCATCTTAAATTTTTTCTTAATTTTTAATACTCCTCTTTGTTTAAATATTAACATTGCCTTTATTTACTTTTTCTTTTGCTCTTCTCATCTTTTTCATTAAGTATACATATACAGTAAATTGTCTCTTATTTTCATTAACCTTTAATTGATTCTATCTTTCTTGACTAATAAATTATTATCTAACTGAATGTACCTATTATTTTCTGTATTAAAAAATATGTTTAGTTTCATTAAATAATATTATCAGGGAAATTTAATTACCACTGAAATTATATATTATTTATAGAGATAGAGGGAGAAAGTGAGATAAATTTTGATCGTGTGAGGCAGTAAAAGGTTAAGAACTTGAGAGAGAGAGAGAGAGAGAGAGCAAAACCTCAGAGTAATCAGCACTCATAGTTGTTAAAAGTGTGTGGGGTTAACCGCTATTTCAAGGTACGCCATGAGTTAAACCACAATTCACCGAGTTTTGGTATGTATTAGTAATCATGTAGTCTACTCTTCAAAACAAGATACAAACTATTTACACAAGCCAAAACTGAATGGCCTTAATTACTCGAAATTTCATATTTCCCTCGATATTTAGTGTCAATGTTCCTTCGCTTCATTTTCACTTCATTTTCATTCTACTTTCACCCCACTTTTAGCTTACTATTACTTCTCTTTCACTTCACTTTTTTGTCGAAGTGAAAGTGAAGTGTAAGTGAAAGTTAAATGAAAATGTAGTGATAGTGAAGTGAAAGTTGAACTGTTTTATTTATAATTTTTTTTCCCCTCTACCTTTTAGGATCAGGAACAGTGCAAAAAGAAGTTGGCCTACGACGAAAATAGGAACTCTCAATTAAATCATCGTCGTCATCAGTTTTATAGCGATTTAATCCACGTGGATAAGTCGAATAAGGCTGTTCGTACATTATTTGCAATGGTTTACGTGGATATGGAGCATCGCAAAGATTCTCCTCACTTGGAGCACTGCGAACGCAAGCTGAAAGAATTGATGCCTTTGTTGAACTACATGGCGATGGTCCTCTATTGGTAAGGCACCCAAATATTCCACCTCCTGATCTTTCAACAGCATCCAATTGTCTACTTGTAATGCAATATTGTTCCTTAATATCTTCACGTGAATAGAGTGGCGTTGCACGACGATCCCAATCCATGTGCATTGAACCACCATGAAGATCGACCTGTGTCGATACATCAACCTTCAAGGAAAAAACCTGTGAAATTTAGAAAAGAATCTCCCATGTCGTTAGCTGATGTCAATAATCTAAATATTCTAACTCATTTTAAATATTAGAGGCAGAAACGTTGTCCCATTTTTTATTTCATCCTTTTCACATCATACTTTTTACTTTCAATTTTTTTATTTCTTAACTTTCCACTTTCTGTCTTGGACTTTTTACTATTCAATTACTTATGTTTTAGCACCTACTGTCCAATTCTTACTTTTCACCTTTTACTTTCTATTTTTCACTTTGCAAATTCCAATTTCCACTTTTCCCCTTCTACTTCTAATTTATCACTTCCTACTTTCCATATTCCACCTTCTACATTCTTTTTCCCACATCCCATTTCATTTTTCAATCAATGGAAGTAGAATATGGAGGTAGAAAGTGGAATCCTTATTTCTACTTCCCAACTTGACACTTTCTACTTCCCACGTCCAATTTATACTACTCTATTTCCTATATTCCACCTCCAACTGTCCAATTCCTTTTTTCCATCTTCTACTTCTAACTTTCCACTTTTTATTTTCTACCTCCCCCCTCCTACTGTCCAATTCCCACTTTCCCCCTTCTACTTCTAATTTATCACTTCCTACTTTCCATATTCCACCTTCTACATTCTTTTTCCCACATCCCATTTCATTTTTCAATCAATGGAAGTAGAATATGGAGGTAGAAAGTGGAATCCTTATTTCTACTTTCCAACTTGACACTTTCTACTTCCCACCTCCAATTTATACTACTCCATTTCCTATATTCCACCTCCAACTGTCCAATTCCTTTTTTCCATCTTCTACTTCTAACTTTCCACTTTTTATTTTCTACCTCCCCCCTCCTACTGTCCAATTTCTACTTTCTATACTATACCTTATACTTCCATATCCTATATTCTTTTTCCCAAATCCCTCTTCATTTTTTAATCAATGTAAGTAGAAAGTTGGAGGTGGAAAGTAGAAAGTGGACAATGAGTGGTGGAATATTGTATGTAGAATAGAGAAAACTTCAACTCCAACTGTCCAATTCCCACTTTCCACTTCCAACTTTCCACTTTTTACTTCACAGCACCAACTGTCCAATTTCCTATTTCCCACCTTCTACTTCAAACTTTTCACTTACCATTTCATACTTTGCACCTCCTACATTTTTTTTCCCAAATCCTACTTCATTTTTAATCAATGGAAGTAGAAGATAGAAGGTGGAAAATAGAAAGTAGAAAGTGGGCAATGAGTGGTGGATTATGGGAAGTGGAATAGTGAAAAGTGGGAGGTGGAAAGCGGTAAATGAAAAATAGGAAGTAGAAAGTGAACAGTGGGAGGTGGTAGGTGGAAATGAAAAGTAGGAAGTAGAAAGTGAACAGTGGGAGGTGGTAGGTGGAAATGAAAAGTAGGAAGTAGAAAGTGAACAGTGGGAGATGGTAGGTGGAAATGAAAAGTAGGAAGTAGAAAGTGAACAGTGGGAGGTGATAGGTGGAAGTGGAAAGTAGGAAACTGAAAAGTGGAAAATTAGAAGGTGGTAAGTGGGAAATGGAAAGTAGAAAATGGGAAGTAAAAATTGAAAAGTGAGAGATGGAAAGTAGAAAATGAGAAGTGGAAATTGAAAAGTGAGAGATGGAAAGTAGAAAATGAAAAGTGGAAATTGAAAAGTGGAAAATGGAAAGTAGAAGGTGGTAAATTGGAAATGGAAAGTGAGAAAAAAAAACATGTATGAAACTATTTTTTAATTATTAATCATAAAAAAAATTGCCCGGAAAAATCTATTTCTTACAATGTAAATATAAGAAAATGTTTTTTTTTCAATATGAACCAGTAAGATTAGATTGATATTAGTTGAAGCTTGGGATGATAACGATGTTACACGGTAACACAATATTAGCTCAATTCCGTACCTGTCTTTAATTTCCCATTGGGATTCATTCATCCTCGTCAACAAGATATACATATATATATATATATATTTAAAAAAACAATTTCAAAGTAAAATTTTAAACTTTTTTCCACTAATTCCTAAATTTGTTTATAAATAATCTTTTAATTTATTTTTTTTCAAATTAAATAAATATTTCATTTTGCTTCATTTTTAAAATAAAAACTTTCGTTATTTTTTTACTATTTTTTTTTCAGGAAACAATTTTATAAAAAAAAAGTAAAAGAAAAGAATATTTAAAAAAAATAGATAAACATTTTCTCAATAATCGTAGCCGAATTTTTTTTTTTATCCAAATGCATAAAAGATATACATATAGTTGAATATTTTGTAGTTCATATAATATTCCGCAAGTTTGGAATTCAAACTTTTCCATATATTTACATTGAACAGAGTAAAATTTCAATTTCAACAAAAATATTACTTTAAATCACATTATCTTCATATTGAAGGGGAAAAATGTTTTCGAATACATAACTGAAGCATAAGGGAACGATATATTTTTCTCAATTTGATGTTTTGGAAATTTTTAAAATTTTCTAGATTATTTATTATTTATTAAATTTATTTTCTATCGTCATATTGAATTTTTTTTTTTTTTTTGATAATCGGTTTATTATTAAATAAATATTTATTTAATTATTATGTTTGTTTTAAATACAGAAATTATTGGTTCAATTATTTGATATTAAAAATTATTTTGTTCAAGTAAATATTTATTTGTATACTAAAGTAACGGATTATTTGAATCAAATAATTTTTTTTTTTTTTGCAGTCAGGGTATTTTTCTTTTTTTTCATTAAAGCCCTCGAAAGTGGGTTACAAACAATCGTCATGCCTATCAGGAAGTTTTCCTCGTGCTTTTCTCGCGTAGTAAACGAGGGTTACTGACACACGAACGACGAGCCCACCCTCTTTGGGTAAAGGGTGTGCGCGGGCACTTTAAATCCCCACACATAAGGGAGGGCAAATCGCTGTCACGGTCTCTCGTCTCTCACCTAAATATAGAATTGGACAACGTGTCATGCCCTCTAACATCAAAACAACTACGTTCACATGGTTGTTTTAATCATAAAAAAAAACCAATTTACTTTTTTTTTATTTTTTAGAAAATCAAACCTGTGGCTGATAGGTGACTGGATTCGATCGAAGTAGTTCATTATCACCAAGAAACACAGCTGGTGTCATTGTATTGGGAAGATTTCTTGGATTCATTGAAATTTCCGCTGATTTTTTTATTTGACCTCCTGATGATGGTCCCATGGTGATTGGGGCCCCAGACATGCCGGAATTAGCCGCACCCCGATGTCGTTGAGCCTATCGATCTGGACCTTTCTGTTCTCGTGAGAGAAAGAGAGAGAGAGAGAAAAAAAAAGAAGAATAGATTTTCTTTTTTTAAAACTCGTTAGTTTTTTTTCAACACACAATTTATACCGTCGGACACTCTTTAAGAGAACTAAATTCTCGGAATTCACCTCGAGGGATGGTTTTTCTGTTATTGAATTCGAGGGACGGACACTCGATGATTGTAAAATAAGGAAAAAAAAAATATTTATAAATTTTTCGTTAAGACAAGGACGAATTTTTGTTGAGAGAAAATTAAATGACGAATGAGAATTACAATGATGATTATGATGATGATGATGAAGACGACGTTTAGGAGAGCACCGGGTGACGGGCGGCGTCCACACCGCCGCGACGCCTATCGTCTCTCCCTCTCGCGAGGTACTTGTATGTGCGTGGCGCAGAACTAAGCGCCACCATCGCAACATCCGTGAATATCATCCTTTTTCATCTTGAGCAAGCGCAAAACTTATGGTCCAGGCCGTCATCACCATGGTAACAGCGTCCAAATTTCTGAAATTCGATAATTTATTTAATTTTCTATTCTAAATTATTGTATTCTATTTTATTCTTTTTTATTCTATTCTTTTCTATATTTTATTCTTATATAAAAAAAATCTAATAACCACAAAAAAATATTAAAAAATTTCCAAAAATAAGTATTAAAAAAAGACATAAATTTCCAACTATAAAGCATATAAAAATAAATAGAAATTATCTCAAAAGATATATTCCAAAAAAATGAAAACATTAAACGAAATTGAATTTCATGAAAAAAAAGTCGATAAAGAAGATAACGAAAGTGCTTCAAAATTTTACGAGAGTGAGATTTTGTGCCGACCGAGAAATTTTCTAATTCAAATAGTTACCGGAAAAGCGCTTTCACAAAAACGAGCTGTACACATGGTTAAAGAGAGATGCTGCTGCTGCTGCTGCTACTACTACATAACTATACAAACTGAGAGGAAACATTGTTATCGTCTGTGGCGCATTTTCATCTTATCTATGTCTCGTTGAGTCAAATCGATCATGAACTAATCCACTGGGTTTTGATAATAACATGCGAGAGTGGTTTTTTTAGATTCTAAAGGGAAGGGATGTGTCTCTAAAACAACTTCCGCCTATCACGATAACATTTAGAACTTTACAATCCATAGTGTCTTCTATATTTATCTTAACTATTATTTTTATATATTTTATGCATAAAGATATGGTAAACTGAGAGAAGCTTTATTTATTGATTTACACTGTATATATATATATATATATATACGTATCGCAACATAGCGGAATTTACATTGAATAATGGAAATAACTTCAATCAATAGAGGAATAAATTTCTCCATTAATAATTTCGACTATTTTTATTATTTTATTGTAATAATAACAATAATAATACCTAATAATAATAACAATAATAATAGGTATAATTATTATAAGTTGTTGTTGTTAATTTATTTCATTATTATTACTATTTTATTAAACGTTTTTATATGAAATTTGCAGGATTTGTTAATCAGTCAACAGTGGCGCCATCTGTAGTACTTGTAGCCGAGGCAAAACAACAGCTGACTGTAGAAAGAATTAACCTCAAAAAAAATTTTATTGTCACATTGAACACATCGGATTCTAAAATACTGTATTTGAAATAAATTTTTTCACTTCAAATACAAGAGAAAAAAAAAGTTATTAGAATACCCAATCGTAAATATATTTCCACTGTATTTTCTCTTTTTTAATAATTTAAAGTATAAAAATCCTATATGTAGTAAAACAGAAAATTTATATTTGAAACAATTTTTTTCTATTTAAAATCAAAAAAAAAAAATTAATTACTAATACAAATAAAGAAATATTTATTATTTATTTATCTTTTTTCCAAAAAAAAAAATTGATAATTCCAGATACATAATATTTTTTGAATTTTTTTTTTATATCTTCGAATATAGAATTATTTAATAGTTTAATTCACAATTGAAATCAAAAAGAAAATTGTTTATAAACTAATGTGAATTTTATATTCAAATTATCTTTAAAGAGAAAACTTGACAAAGCCCAACCCTGTTTATATATGTATATATACATTATATCGAGACTCGCGTTTATGTTGACTGTGTATACCTTTAGTTTCTGTCGTATATATATATATATATATATATAAAGGTCACACATGAAATTTGCCAGGACTTGTTAATCGAAACTTGCTGAATTTGCTTTAATTCGTTTTTTTCACTAATATACATTGTAAATTATAATGTATGCATCATGACCTGTATTCAGAAAATCAACATATACTTAGGCAAAAAAAAATGTTAATTCTTGAAATCTTGCAAAAAAATATTCGTTACATTAAAAATAAAAAAAACAATTCTCTATAGCAACCGACCTTATATTATTTCTATTAATTTTCCCAGTTAAACAGTTCATATCATATTTCTAGAATAATAAATTATAATTGATCGTGTTCTTTAAATATATATTTATACCATTTTAATAATTAAACAATATTATATTATTCTTGGAAAAACCAAAGCATAGAAGTTCAATAAAACTTTCTGGTTTACAATAAACAAAAAAGAAAATACTTGTCAAAAATGTTTTTGTAAAGAATGGATTGTATTATATTACTGTTACTAAGGAATAAAAATCCCTAGCAACGGTTGCTATGAAAACGGTTGCTATAGAATCGGTTGCTATAGTTACAGTTGTCATGGAAACAGTTACTATGGTAACCCTAAACAAGATTAATAGTAAAATTAATTATCTTTTTTTAGAAAAATTTTCATTAAAAAAAAAATTATGTGTGGCAATCTTTGCAAATTTTCTGCAATTGGTTTCGGACTTACGTAAATAAAAATAAATAAAGTAACAAGATTAATATTAAAATTGATTATCTTTTTTTAGAAAAATTTTCGTTAAATAAAAGAATAAGGGTGGCAGTTTTGCAAAGTTTCTGCAATTGGTTTCGGACTTAAGTGAATAAAAATAATTAAAATAACAAGATTAATATTAAAATTGATTATCTTTTTTTAGAAAAATTTTCGTTAAATAAAGAAAATTATGTGTGGCAATTTTGCAAATTTTCTGCAATTGGTTTCGGACTTAAGTGAATAAAAATAAATAAAATAACAAGATTAATATTAAAATTGATAATTTTTTTTTAGAAAAATTTTCGTTAAAGAAAAAAAAATAAGGGTATCAGTTTCGCAAATTACACACACACACATACATCTGGACATTTGTTTTAAACTTTAAATATATGCATTGTAGACTAAAATAAGCCCATATAACCCTTTTATAAAAAATCAGAAATTGTCATGAATACAAAGCTTTCTCGTGAAAGCAAAATTATCTTTTATTAATTTTAAACCAGAAAGTCGCCTTAATTTAATCAATAAGAGTAATAAATCTTTTTAAAAAAGTTAATTAACTTGTTTTCCTATTTTTTTTATCATTTTCGTTATTCGCGATTTATTTCCTGCAAACTGTGAAACAAAATTTTTTTTCAATTCATAATAGAGAAAAAAAATTATCCATTTTTTAAAAACCTTTCTAATTTTATCGTTTTGTATGGTATTGTGTTTATATATGTGTATGTTGTATGTGTTAGTGTGTATGAGAAATGAAAATATAGTTTTGAAAAAAATAAAACACTTATAAAATTGAAATTAATATCTATTGAAATGGATCTCTTTCAATATATAGATATATTTATTTTGTTTGTGCAAGCAGATAGATATTTTTCCAATAATTACATTTGGCATTGCACACGGCAGGGCTAATAAAGTTCTGGGTATGAATCCCGTTCTCTGTACGTGACTTGGTTCTAAAATACTCATCTGATGGATATAAGAAAGAAAATAGAAGCGAATCCTCGTATTTTTATAATCTTCGATTGGCTTCTTGTTATAGCCCCCAATGTAACGTCACGTGACTTTTATTCTGGAATAAATTTCACTGATATTGCCAATTTTTTTTTTTTTTATCATAAGAGATCATATTTTATTTTATGTTTTTCGCTGAATTAACAAAAAATCTGAAATTATTATTGCGAGGAAATAAATATATATTCGAAATATTTATATCATTTGAAATTTATTCCATAAATTTTATATTTATTTATTGTTTTTTTTTTTTTTGAAGAAAGAATTTAATTCTACTTATTATGGAATAGAAAAATTGGAATAAAGTTGATTTTTTATTTATTGTTTTTAAAACTGACTTTTTTGGAAATTCGGAATTATATTTAATGTTTTAGTTGAAAATTAGGATAAATTATCAAATTTTTCTTTACTAATCTCAACATATTCCTCTAAGTTGATGCGATCCTATTATTAATTTAATTAAATGATCATCATAAGTTTCGAGACTTTGACGATCGACTGGAGGTTTTGCTTGAGGGTTATCTCAGCTAATCTAGTGAAAATTAATTCCTATGAAGTGTAATGTGTTTTTCTTCATTGTTTAATTAATTTATTCAATAAATGAAAGAAAATTTATTTGAATTTTCAAAATTACTTTTTTTAAGATGTAATTTTTTTTTGTCAATAGGAAAATAGTGAATAACTTTTTTTTTATATCACAGTGATAAAATTGACAAAACAATTTATTAAGTTTAGAAATTTTTGCATTAACAATAGAATATCTATTGTAAGTAAACCATGTAAACAGAATGTTGGTACTTTGAAATTGACCAGACTGTGGTGCTGTCAATTTGGCTAGTTTTGTGGTTATAATGTTACAGACATTTGTCGTTTGTAGAGATGATGAAATTAATACTCGTAAACTAGTCACGTATTCATACGACATCTGCATTTACTGTTAACCTCTAAACATTGTTTCAATTTATTGGATTTACTTACAATATCAAGAAAATTCATTTATCACATTTATTTTTTTTTTATTTATTAAATATTTAATATTATTTCGCTAAATAAAAAAGAAAAATTCTGAATTTTCTCAAAATAATAAAATTAATGTCAAAAGAAAATTTAAATTCTCCTCTAAAAAGTCTTAATATAAAGAATAAAAAAAGGTATTTTTACAAAAAAGTTAAACTAAAAAGTTCGACATGATTCTAGTTGAGTAAAGTGAACTTTTGAAAGTTAAACTCTGCGTCAAAAGTTAGACAAGATTCATGGTAATGTGTATTACAAGGAAGATATGGTACTTATATAACTGAAGGTATGCGTAATTCCAAACGTCATTGAGATAATTTATAAAGTGGGATAATTTTCAGCCAACAAAGTGAATCAAAAAGTTTAGTAAATCTTTTTATTTTTAATACTGATTTACTCAAAATTAACCAAAAATGTCTGACAAAAACTTACTTTTACTAGTTATAGTACAATATTCATGAATGTCTGACCATACTTGATTTGCACTACTGATT